GTAAGTGTCTCTCTCATTCTGCACCAACACAAACGTGTGCATGCTGCATATGTTTAGCTTGCTTTAAGGCCAAAGTATACTTCGGTTTTTACTCTTACGCGAGGGTCCGTGTACACTGCGCGTGACGCAAATTACATCATCAAAATAGTACGCGTGCACTCGTATAATGTATAACGAGTGGTTCCCTGCATTATTTTAGGAAAATGTTTTGTGATTACAGTATTGAGATGCTGCAATAGAGCATTGAAATGAACAGTGAAAGTAACAAAAGCTTATACAATAAATTTTAACAGGTATAATTAAGTGTGGAAATAACTGAAGGTAATATCTGTTTGCTAAATGAAGCCAACTAACATGATTCATTTTATTATTATTACTATTATTTTGTTTCTGTACCCAATATTTAAAAAAAATGACAAATGCTGTGAAAATACAGGTATCGGTGAGTACCAAAAATTAAAGTATCGATATTGTTCTGAAAAAAGTGGTATCGGTGCATCCCTAATGGAAACTTTTTATCACACATTCTTCATTTACTTTTGCTACTTTTCTGTTGACTTTTATGTATAGTACTGTTCAAAAGGCACAGTAAGATTATAATGCTTTTGAAAAAAGTCTCTTATGCCCAACAAGATTGTATTTATTTGATAAAAAATACCGTAAAAAAAGTAATTTTATGAAATAAAAAATAAAATATTAATAAATATTATTTGTGTGCATACATAGTACAAAGAATGCTAATTGTAAAAACAGAATGATTGGCCATTATATATATATGTTATTGACCAAATACTTATTTTCCACCATAATTTGCAAATAAATTCTTTAAAAATCCTACAATGTGATTTTCTGGATTTTTTTTCTCATTTTGTCTCTCATAGTTGAGGTATACCTATGATGAAAATTACAGGCCTCTCTCATCTTTTTAAGTGGGAGAACTTGCACAATTGGTGGCTGACTAAATACTTTTTTCCCCCACTGTATATATATATATATATATACACACACACACACACACACACATCAGATTTTATCACTGTTTCCATTCTCCAAAAGACGGTATGACTTCCTGGTTCTATGAAGCCCCTTCCTCAGAAATACACAATGGGCTCAGATTGGTTAGCTGTGAAAACAAGCTAATTCAAAATATTTAAAAAAAAATACTACAACAGTATTTAAATAATCCTAAAAGTACACTGATTTTGAAAATAGATTGGGGAATTTTCTGTGCCTTTTTTCGGTTTAGGGATATTGATCACATGAAATCTACAGAATGATTACTAATAAAACATTCCCTAATTAAAACATATTTTCTTTGAAACATTTTAATTAAAGAAAATAAAAAATTAAGACACACCTATAATATTTCTTAATAAACTGTCACTTATTCGCTGCAGAAATTGGCACAAATGGCAACATCTGGTCAAAATAAAGTAGTGAAATTATTTAAAATTTACTCCATATTGACATAATGTGAAGAAAACTAATTAAACATTTTATAAAAATTATGCATTTAATATTTTATCTGATATATTAAGGCATTTATGAAGTGTACAGCACAACAGGAATTATCATCTAAAGTCAAACTGAATCACATTTTGAAATGCAACTCCTAGCTCAGAGAGATGCTTAAATCCTCTAATGGTTGTAAATGTACTATTTTTGTCTGTGCTGCTGTCATAAATGCGTACCGTGACTTTAAAAGGCGCTGACGTGTCTGCATCCATAGCGACCACCGTTTTGTCCACCGTACTGCCAGGCATACTGCGCCGCCGGCCCACCCTGTCAGTGAGAGACTCTGAAAACAGACAGACAGAGACAGAGAGAGGAAACAGACAGTGATGACTGGATTCATGTGTATGTAACCTGCCAAGAGCAGTTCAATGATCAGATTTCCCCTAGGATAAACAAACCCACCAAAACAGCACTGGAAAACTGAAAAAACTAAAGAAAGGTGTTCAGCATCATCTCTTCTTCATGCTTGCTAAGATTTAAACAAGTTGCTAGTGCTAGTATGTTTTGGATGATTGCCAGGGGGTTGCTGTGCCATTGCTATGTGGTTGTTATGGTCTTTTGAGTGGTATTAAGCATGTTGCAATGTGGCTGCTTTAGCAAGTCAAAAGGCCCACCCATAATTCTCTACAATATGCTGCTTCTGTAGCAGCGTCACTGTGTCAGTCACATGTGTCGGTCATGCGCGGCCTGCATCAGCCTGTCAGACTGTGCTTGGCATTCAGCACACGCCTGCATCTCTGTCTGCACGATTGATGGAGAGAAGGAGGGAACAAGTGTTTGTGCGGAAAACAAATGAGAGAGCGAACGCAGCCAACCTGAAAGACAAGATCTATGAAATTCATCCTCCTGTCTGTCTCTTTGCACAGTCTGAATCACGTCAAACTCAAAACAAAGTGGAGTAAGGGCTTCTGTGCCTCGCTGGTTTTGTACTTGGAAAGATGCGTCACTAACAAGATCTGGAAGCTTTTTTTATGAGCGTGCTCTTTCTGACAGCACTTTTCTTGAGCTAGAATTGGTTGTTCAAATAAAAAAGCTTTCTGTTCTACAGTATAAAAAATATCCTGTTATATTTATGGTATTAAAAAAAAACTGGCAGCTGTGGTTGCCCGAAATTCACGGTAAAAACAATGTTTCCGGTGTTACAAGATGCCTGTATATTTTACAATTTATAACTGTATATTTCATTAAGTGATAGACTGTTCACATACCTATTAACATTTCTATTCTATCTACTTATTTATTTTATTATATATATAAAAAACTTGACCCTCTAACACTAGAACTATCTATTCTATTTTACTATTCTATTTCTAATTTATTCTACTTGTTGTCTTTTTATTTATAAAAAAACTGACCCTCTAACACACACACACACACACACACACACACACACACACACTAAAGCAACTTTCAGTTAACCAATTCACACATTTTTTTTATAGTGTACAGAGAGCATTAAATTCACTGACACCTGGAAACAAACCAATGATATAAACTGCTTAGGATAAACAATTATGTGCTAATAAATATTGCCATAATGTCAAATAACAAGGATTTGTATTGCCGCCTCAGTCATCATTTAGTGTTGGCTGAGCAAAACTAGACATGATCTGACAACATGGAGGAAGAGTGATTAACAGCCCTGCGTAGGTATCGACATATGAACATTCCGTCTGTGTGTGTTGGTAATTTCACTGTTTTCTCACTAGAGAGATGAACAGATTGGAATGCATGGGAGAGAAATCTCAACGCTGCCTCTTGCTTATGTTGATATCACAACATCCTGATCCATATGTTAAGCACGGAAGCAAGATCACATGATCTTTGACTTAAATGCAGTGTTTGAAAACAGTGAAGATCCACATGGTTTTTGAGTAACATTTAAAAGTCTGTAAGTAGGCCAAAACTTTATATACAGAATTCTTAACAGGGTAATACTTTATGTATTTTTCAAATATGACTGTGTACTTCTGTTCATAAACATCAGCATCTCTCCATCAGCTGTGTTGAAAGCACTGTTTGCTCTGAATGATGACTACAATGCCATTACCAACCTGCAAACTAATAATTTGTTCAAGTATTCTTTCATCATTAAGCTGCTTGATCATGATTGATAAATGCAGCGTAAATGGAAGAAACACTAAACAACAATTAAGAGATGGCTCCAACATTCCTCCACCCAGAGCCAAGTGTTTATGAAGAGTGGAGACCGTAAAATGCTTTCATATTGAGAGGACAACACAAGGGGCTCAAAGAAAAGCCTCCTCTGGCACGGACCTGTGTGCAGGGGGTCTGAACTCCTGACCGTTCTGCTCATATTTGTCCAGAGCAAACATGCTGACAAGAATACAGAAGTTGTGTTTATGAGTTGCTGTGGAAATACTTTCCATTTCAGGTTGGACAAAAGTAAATAAATACCACATCAGAGGACTGATCACCGCCACTTTATGACCCACGTGATTTCCAAAAAAAAAACTAAACCAAAACTAAACCGATTTCCAAAACTAAACTAAAGGTTATCCAAATGTGTTATATAATATATATTCTTTTTGATTGTAAAGCACTTTGGGTGTACAGCAATACACAATAAAGCGATATATAAATGCATCATAAAATAAAATGAAATGAAATGAAATGAAATGAAATGAAATAAAATAAAATAGTACAACGTGACCCCTGTAACGTACTTATAAATTAATATATATATTTTTTTTAAAGTTCTTGACTGGTATGAGCCATCAAACAATGTTCCATATATGTTAATCAGTTCAACCCTAGATGTTGGGAAGACTTGTGGGCCATTTGCCAGAAAATAAAATAGTACAACGTGACCCCTGTAACGTACTTATAAATTAATATATATATTTTTTTAAAGTTCTTGACTGGTATGAGCCATCAAACAATGTTCCATATATGTTAATCAGTTCAACCCTAGATGTTGGGAAGACTTGTGGGCCATTTGCCAGAGAATTACTGCAGAAATACTTGGCGCTAGCGGCCCTATTAATCTGCTCTGAACAAGATGCATGGCCCAGCTGCTGTAAGAGATGCCTGCACCGGGGTGCCACCGTCCTCCATCTGATCTCACAGAGGACTCTGTCATTCCAGGAAATTACATAGAAGTGCTATGGTCTCATTTAGCATTCAAGCAGGGCTATAACTCACAGGCTTGTCTCATTTGCTCTTAATCTAAATGCACGTTCCTTTCTTCAGATCTGGCTCGACTTGTCGCAGCAAGAGATGATGAGTCTTTGCAGGCCCTTCGGTTTGGTTAGACCGTTAAGGTCTTTTTGTTAAGGTTTAAAAGCAAAGACAATAACATAAAAAGCTAAACAACTTGTGCTGATTTTCAGCAGGGTCAGTATCTGGGTAACATACAGTGACTTGCAGGTATTTTATTATTGATTATGAATGGCAAGGATAAAAATTGCAAAAAGGTAAAGAAAAAAAACAGACTTTGCTTGAGTCTATTTAGCAGAACATAACTTTGTGACCCAGGAAGTACAGTATCTGGTGTAATAATATAGTTAGCAAATAAACAGATTTTACAAGTAATGTTCTGTCAAATGCCCCAATCTGCATATCCATTGATTTTCAGAATGGATTGAAGCAGAGAGAAATATGTGGAGAAGTACACAGAATTGATTAATTTGTGAGATACGGACCACATCCTTTAACTATAAGAAGATTTCTAATACACACACACACACACACACACACACACACACACACACACACACACACACGTTTGTTTCTGTGAATTGTGGGGACTTTCCATAGACTTCTATCACTTTAATACTGACCAAACAATATTTTCTAGTTGTTTTTTTATATATATAAATTAATACATATTTTTTAGCAAGGATGTATTAAATTGATCAACAATGAGAGCAAATACCTTCACATTGTTACAAAAAAAAAATAATCTATTAAAAATGCTGTTCTTTTGTACATTATTAAAAGAATTCTGAAAAACCGTGTATCACAAAAATATTAGGAAGCACAATTCTCAACTGTTACAGTATTGATAAGAAATATTTCTTAATCAGCAAATCAGCATATTAGACTGATTTCTGAAGGATTGTGTGATACTGAAGACTGGAGTAATGACACAGAAAATTCAGCTTTGCATCACAGGAATAAATTACATTTGAAAATATATTCAAATAGAAAACAGTTATTTTAATCTGAATATTACTGTTTTACTACATTTGTAATCAAATAAATGCAGCCTCCGTAAGATTTTCACAGAAGTAAAAAATACAATATTTTTTTGAAAGCAAACCTACAGTATGTGCCTATTCCCTGGGTTCAATAATACCCACGCTCCTCTGAACCTATCAATCAAACAGCTAAAATGCTGTGCAGGCCTTCCATCTAACATCACTCCCCTGAAACAAGACCACCACAGTGAAAGGAAATGGAAAACAGGCAGAGACAAACAGAACAGAAATAGAATGATAACTAAGCACCCATTGTTGTTCTTTGAAGAACAATTACTTAATCAGAACAAGCTGTTCCAGTGTTTCCAGTTAAAGGTGATGTAAGTGTGAGTATTGTATATAATGACAGATTGTCATTTTTGGGTGAACTCTTGTTTAAGAACAAATGTAATCTGTAATCAGCAGCACATACTGTCCCATGCAGTAGCCAACTGTAAAAATGACTTCTGGACAGGGATGCTTCAGACTCATGTACAGTAACACAGATAATGGATGGTAAATGCTGCTTTGGGCTCATTGCTGAAGCGTCAATCACTGAGCAAGTCAGCTTTCTTTCTTCTATTAAACAGACACAGAGCTAAACTCTCGACTACACCCGTCACTCAAGCCTCTTGATGTGTCAAGAAACAGAACTTTTTTGGTCTTTAATGGAGAAGTGCACTAAAGGCCTGACAGATCATGCAGCCCACATTCGCCAACTCTGAGAAACCATTCATCTCGGCGAGACTTTATCAATCTCATCAACTGCCACCACAAGAGTTTGAGCAAAGTTTGAACAGTGCAATGTTTCCAAGTAATGGATCTGAAACAAGAATGCACAAGATCTTGAAGTTTTTTCTACACACTTGAAGTTTAGAAAAATACTGAGTGCACTCATAACTCTTTGAAAAGAAGGAAATGGGAGAAACTAAATGATAGGGCTGCAAAAACTAAGGTTGCAATTGTATGTTATGAGTGGTTGCCAGGGTTGTGCCAAATTCAGAAATGTAGAATTGGCTTCCATTTAATTAACAAGTGTGTATTTGAACTGAATTTGGGATGGCAGCATAAGGAATTTACAGAATAGTAGCTCAATGGAAATTCAGCAAGATTTAACCACTATGTAATTTGCTTAATCAGTATTTTGTGTCAAATTCCTTTAATATATTTACATAACACTGATTTAAAAGAAAACCAAGAGGCTTATGCTCAAAACTTTCTTAAAGGGTAAGAAAAACGTAATTCAAAATATATTGCCATGGTTCATTATTTCATTATTCAGTTCATTATTCCACCCTAGTTTACCAAAGTTAATTTAAAATTAAACTAAAATTAATAAAACTAAATGAAATAGTACAATGTAATTTAATAAATAAATAAATAATTTAATAAATATTTATATTAATTTCTTTCAATCAAATAACTGAATTCAAATTCCTTTCTTTAGTTCAGGAACTAAATTGGATTTTAAAAGTCTCTCAAATCAATTCTGTTGGTTGCCAGGGCATTGCTATGTGGTTGCATTGGTTAGAAAAGTATTAGCACACCTCTCCCCAATAAGCTGCACGACCTGCTTTATCACGTGTGGACAAGTTATGCACCAAAGTTTAATACTGAGAACAGAAATCGTTCATGGAAATATGTACGAACCTGATGTAAAGAGGAGGTGGTGGTTTCTTCAGTACTGTGTGAACTGTGAACCACTTGCTGTCTTCTCCCACACACACACATAGGATAAGTCTCTCTAGGCTCTAATCAGTGTAAGAACTGAGAAGAAAAAGTCCCTGGAGGCTGTATATTTAGGAAGCTTCACTTCACCATGAGGAAGACAAAAATACTTGTTTATGAACTCCATCGAAGCAGTGAAGTACTGAAAAATTGATATTCTTACAGCAGCAGATCATAGGCTGAAAAAAAACAAAAATTGTCCTACTTTAGGCTAACTCGTACTGAAGGAAAAGTGATTTAAACTCAGAATCAGAATTTACAACTTGTCTTTTTAAACTGCTAAAATAAAAGTAATACTTCTGTTTATAATTATCAGCTTTTAAAAACATGAAAGTGGAAGGAAGGCCACAAAGAAGACCACAAATGTGTATGAATTCGAAATATCTTTAACAGTTGATAAACAAATTAAAAAGTCCAACATTCATAATGTCAAGTCACGGTAGACCAGCAGATGATAGATAGAAACGGGTTTCGAGAGAACACTTCTTGTAGTCAGTATCTTCAAAATATGATTACTTTCAATAAGACTTTCAATATTCTCTCTTTGTCTCAAAGAATAAGGTCAGGACACGTTTGTACTTGTGATAGACCAATATATCAACGGAATAATCAGCCATTATTTGGCAGTTTAACTGCTGAATAATTCGCTTAATCAGTATTTTGTCTTTTCCAGTAAAAACATTAAGTAATTTAAATATATAAAATAAAATAAAAGAATAAATATATAAGATATATTCTCTGAAAACAAATAAGAATAATTTCAGATGTATTTATTTATTTAAGGAAAGGACAAAAAACACAAAAAAATAATACATTTGCAGTTCAGTCTTGTAAATTCCATCATTTTCTTTTTTATGCGTGTTACTATCAATGTACTATCAAATAGAGTATGTATGCCAATTTGAGAAACTACTTAAGAGGATATTTTTATGAAACGTCAACAAAGTCCAGTCCCCTCAAAAGTTGCCTGCACCTTCACTTGCTTTAAAAACATGTATCACAGCAAAAAACTTCAATCACATAGCAAAGAGGAGAAGAATATCTGAAACCTGGGCACCGTTTCACTCAGACACCAAATGCACACAAAACTATAATCAGTCAAACATTTCTGTCAGTTCCTCAGTGCACTTTCATTTCCATCATTCTTGATGGCAAATTCTATTACACGATGGATATTAAGTCAATATGATCAGACAAAGAAAAATGTCACAAATGCATAAGGGTACTATGGCACACTCTGTAACCCCAGCAAAGTACTGTTTTTTCCAAGATAGACAGAAAAAGACAAAATCACCCTTGATAGCAGTGCGGCAGCGGCTCCGTGACCGAACATGCTGTCTGTGCCTAGATCGGCCCAGAAGTCTGTAGAAGTACCACTTCCTCCCCAGAACTCGCCTCACTGCCCCTGACATGCTCTCCGCGCCTCGCTTTCACCTGTGTCACGGCCTACAGAATGATTGATTCAGAAACTGCTGGAAGTCTTCATTTCAAAAGCTCCTGTTAAACTGAATCACTGCCAGAGAAGCAGATCGCTCCATCTGATTCTGCAAGTCAGGACTGCTCTTAAAATGACACGGTGGAGAGTTTCGAGAGAATAGGTGGAAAAACAACGGGGAAAGTAGAGAGTCAACTCCTCCCAACAAATAACCTCTGTGCTTTGGGAATGAAATCTACAGTGAGGGGTGAATTTTGGTGTAAATTATAGTGCAGACATGTCTTGAGCCGCTCCATCGTAAAAAGAACTATATCAAATGTACAGATATTAGATTACAGTGATAATTCACCCAAAACTGAAAATGGTCTACTTACCCTTTACAATGTTCCAAACCCAAATGTTGTAATTTTCTGTAAAAACGCCAAAGGAGATATTTTTGATTTTTGCAGTTCATACTGACCACATCTGTCAAGCTCAAAAAAAGAAGAAGATATAAAACACCATTAACAAAAAATAAAACAAAATTTCCAATCATGTAGAATATAATAACCTAAAAATCTGTCAAAATGTTTACAATTTATGTAAATTATAAATTCTGGTTTGTTTCTCACACAAAACTATTATTTGGCAGTTTTACAGTAATTTTATGTTTGTTTGTTTTTTTGGAGCTTATCAGGTATGGTCACTAAGAGGTCCACATTTTTCCCATTATTGTTGTAAATTCAAGAGAAACTAGTATCTTTCATAGCTTTACTTGGCTGAAACCACTGAAGACTGAACAGGAGGTTTGTCTCTTCACCCACCCTCAGTTAAACATCCAATACATTAATATGTTTGCAGTGGTCTGACAAGGCATTTGACCCCTGTGACCTCTACGACACTAGCTGGTGAAATAATGAGATTTACGAGCCGCAGAAAAACATCTCACCTCCCTGATGAAATCCTCGATTCTGAGAACCAAATGTCAACAACCTACCAGACGGAGATGAAAACTATTTTTAAAAATGATTTACAGTATGTGCTGAATATAATTTATTCAGCACTAATAATATTATTATTTATAATTATCCTTGCTGAATAAAAGCATTAATTAAAAAAACACTCTTCCAGTAGCATACATTAAACAGCCTAAAAAGCTTTCAGACCAATGTCGTTTTAATTACTTTTTGATGAAGTAGAGGCTAATATCAGGTTATCACAGTAACTGTGAAAATATGGTAATTTGGCAGAAACTAAATACCATGGTCATTCTTCATGAGGGAGACCATAACATGCGCTATGCTTGATTTAAAGAGTTAATTCATCTAATATAAAGATTATCTCATTATTTACTCACCCTTACATTGTTCCAAACCTGCATGAATTTCTTACCGGAATACAAAACAAAACATACAAAAACACTGCTATCTTCTATACAACACCAACAACAAAAAATTATACAGTGACCAGGAGCTGTCAAGCTCTCTTAAGGGAACAAATTAGTCCAAGCAGCTATGTTACAAGTCTTGATAGTTGATAGCTTTGTGTGAAGAAAAGACAGACATTTAAGTCTTTGCACTTAATAATCACAACCTCCACCATACCTCTCAAATGTCAAAAGATGTGCATAATTGAGATCAATGGCATTGGTTTATTTGGCCAAATATGTGTAGCTTCAATGGGTGTATACTGTAACTTCATATGAACCACTTATATTGTAGTTTTACAATGATTTTTTTGTATTTCTGCAGCTTGAATGAACGTCATATGGGTTTGAAACAACATAAGGGTGAGTAAATAATGAAAGGATTTTTATTTTTGAGTGAACACTCGCTTTAAAACTTTACTCAACTTTTCATTACTCCAAAAAAAGACTGACAATCCAAAAATCACCCGCCGTCATCAGTGCTTCTCCGAACTTTAACCATCGAAAGCAGGCATGCTTAAAACTACAAAGTTAAAAGATTAGAGGGAATAATTGAATAGCAGAAGAGCTAAATACAGTAACAGTCTTGATACGAAGCGCCTCTCTATAAGTTGGAGCTGATGGATGTGGGGGGTTGACATGCTGGCAGCTCGGTGACAGAATATTTCTCCAGTGAGGAGGAAGAGAGCAGGTCTGTGGCATGCTGGGTCTTTGTAGGAGGGTGAGTGAGTAATGGAAGGAGCCGAGGGAGGCGGCAGGAGCCACTTTCATTCTCTCCTGACGCTCAGACACTCGACCCCAGCGTGAACTTTCTCATCGAGAGAGGAAGAGAGGATGAGATGGAGAGGCTGGCGTAAATCTGTCTGCTCGGTTTCTCAGAAGAGCTCTGTGCTGGAATAAATGTGGGCAATAAGAGGTCCGATATTATTACCCATAGTGCAGTTGCTACAAGCCACCTGAGCCTCGGAGTCAAGCTAAAGGAGAGTATAGGGAAGTGCCATTAAGTCGAGTGATATACGAGTGAGCGCATCTGTGTACTGACAAAACGTTTATCTCTCCAGAGATGTAAAGCAAACCAGAAACAGTGGAACCAAATGTTTGGTAACCATCAGAAATGCCTAACATCATGAACTACTCATGACATTCATTAGCCAAGTCGCTGTCTATATAAATCAATATAAAGTAAAGTCAGTATGAAATGGTCTTATGGTTCTAATTTGTTGCTTTAAGACAAAAACTACTGAGGAATGAGTTTCTGAGAAGAAACTAATACAGGACTCAATGTTCCCCCATAAATAATCAGTCCTCTTACACCATAGGACAATCTCACACACAGCATTATGACATAATCTGGTTAACATTCATCAGCAGGAATTAATGTAGGCAGGGCATGATTTTAACCATCAGGATTGGATTGGATCGTTAATGTTAGCTATTATTTTTTTGTTAGTATTTTGCCCTGCTGCTCACACAACCTTGTACTGGAACAAATTACTTCTTGCTTCTTGATAACATTTTTATTAGTCTTTTTAAAATAGCTTTTCAGTGGGAAAAAAAATTGTTACAATCCTTACATATATATATATATAAAGAGAGAGAGAGAGAGAGCGAGATAGATAGATAGATAGATAGATAGATAGATAGATAGATAGATAGATAGATAGATAGATAGATAGATAGATAGATAGATAGATAGATAGATAGATTTTAACTGGAATGTTAAAAATGCATTACTTTATCTTTATAGAAATTATCATTTGTTTCTTCTATTTGCAGGTGTGAAATATTTATTTAATTAAAATTAAAATATTTAATATGAATTAGGAAAACAAACATTATTATTATTATTTGTAGATATAAACATGCTCTGATGAATTATGCACAGTAAGACCAATAATATTATTTAGGAAAGCAAACTGAGTCTTTTTTTTCATATTGAATAAAAGAGGAGGAAACAAAAGCAGAAGGAAGTGTGAGTTACGTGTCCAGATTTATAAATGATTGTGACCATATTAAAATCACATAATTACTTCTTTCTATGATTCCTTCTTTCACCACACTCTGAAATCTTTACACATCAGCCCTGCACACAAACGGGCATTTAGCCTCAGAGCGCAGCAACACTTCTGTAAATATCAGACTGACTTCGGGGAGCTGACTGACCGCTGTGCAGCAGGTAAATGCAACCAAGACATGACTTCAGCTCTCTGCCCTCGGGCCTTCTTCATAGATTGCACATTTAAAGGGGAAAATGTTTACATGCAGTGCCCCCCTCTGGACCAAAGTGGTACTAAATAAAGAAATTGAAGCACTACCGTTAGAGAATTCCCACAATCATCAACAACATATTGTGAAAATAAGACAGACAGACAGACAGACAGACAGAATGACAGATAGACAGACAGACTCACAAGATCAAATAGAAAAGTATAAGTGAAAAAATAAAATGTCCAAACAAACAATGTCTGCTGAAGTGATTGACAAGACAAACCGCAGCTCCCACACTGCCACCACAAAATGAGGACAATCGGAAGGATCTCAAGCTGTGGAGAGGAACTTATGATGGCCACCAACACCACAAATGCCTTCATCTGAGACGAAACATGCAGTAACTCGCTTTCCTTTGAAACCACTCTCGTTTTTCTGTTGACATCATATACAAACAGCTCTTTGGGTGTTGTTTTATGAAATACACATAATGCTCTTGGCCATTTTAGATGAGAGTACAGAGTTCACCGCATTAGGTGGTTGGGAAGTAAAGAGAGATCCTTGTTTTTTGCCGCTGTTTGGAGTTTTGGATTCCAAGCTTTTACTAGAAGAAGCAACGGCCAAAATCATCAACCAATGAACACCCATAATGACATTCTGTCTTTCATGATGTGACAATGTGAATTAATGAAGCAATGAAAACTGGGAGAACAAACACATTAGGCGAGATAAAGTCTGCCAAAGAAACAGAGTTTTGGACACACTGGTCAAGACTGTTTATGGCCCTGAATGAGACTTAGAATGAGTCTAAATTATTGTGCAATTATTGCAACAATGCCAAGTTTGGGAAGAGATGTTTTGACTGCCAAATCAACAATTACATATAGTTCTTTCCACTTGAGAGTCCGAAAATACTCCATTAGTCTTGTTGTTTAGCTGTGTGAGAACTAGGCCTATGTGTGTTATTTTTACAATCATTAGAAAAAGCTCTCATAGAATATGTACATGAGCTGTTATTATGCAGCTCTGAGAAACATGGGAAAAACAGAAAAGCAAGTGGCCACCATCCAACATACAGTGGGTACGGAAAGTATTCAGACCCCCTTAAATTTTTCACTCTTTGTTATATTGCAGCCATTTGCTAAAATCATTTAAGTTAATTTTTTACTCATTAATGTACACACAGCACCCAGACCAAATGAAAAAGACCAGATGCTAACAATGAATGAATGAATACACTAAGAGTCAAGCATTTGTACAAACTCAACTTAATTTGTTTCTCATGATCTTACAAACTTTTAAACTATCGATATTAGTTATGGATACAAATAAATATTGTACCATACATATTAACAAAACTAAAAATTTAATTGAAAGCTGTTACATGAATACATGTGACGTCCTTCAATACTGTTTAAAAAGCATGCCAGGATGCACCTTATAAAGTTAGTTAAGAGAATGATCCGAGCTCAAAACTAAGATTTGATTTGATAACATTTTTAGTCACAATATAATTCACTTTTCTAAAAGGTAGAAAA